CCTGTGTGACAGAACCAAGCATTTCAACACACGTGTAATAGAAGTCCCAGAAGGAGAGGGGAGAAAGAAAGGGACAAAACATTTCTGAAGAAATGATCTAAATACTTAACCAAATTTGATTATCTACAGATCCAGGAAGTTCAGCGAACTAGGATAAAGACAAAGAAAAATACACATGGATACGTCCTAGTCACAGTGCTGAAAGACAGGAAATCTTGAAAACAGCAAGAGAAAAGCAGCTTATCACACGAGTCAACAACAGTGTGATTAATGGCTTATTTCTCATGAGAAACAGTGGAAGTCAAAAAATGATGGAGTGATATATTCAAAGGGCTGGAAAAAATTATCAACTAAGAAGTCTATACTTAGGAAAATTATCCTTTAAAGATGAATGTGAAGGAAGTTTGATTTCTGGTTCTAGGAAAACAGAATATATATTCATATATTTTCCTATTCTTCCCACTAAATACGTTGAAAACTCTGGACACTACCTCTATAAGGAACATAAGAATTCCCTGAAAGGCGAAAAGAAGGCAGGTAGCTGCAGACCCTGGGACCCTAGGGGTGACATGGTGGTGAGTTCTGTGGATTTCCTTTTTGCCCCATATATCCAGGACTTGGAGCTGAAGAAGCCACCAACCTACAAATGCCAAGAGATGTAGACCAAAGGAGTCCCAAGAAAAGTCTGCTTTCTCCAGCCAAGGGGGCAAGTAGGAAAGGGGCAGACTTTCAATACAGAAAACTTTTAGTCAGTAAACCACTCTGTTCCATCTAAACACCATGGAAAAAACTGTTCCCCCATGCCAGCAAATGCCGAGGGAGGAGCCTAGATTTGCACCCTCATGAGGCTGTACTGAGGTGCCATTACACCCCTGCTAGGGTGGTGTCAGAGAATGCCAGGCAGGGAGCCTAGCCTTGCATCATTGCCTGGCAGCAATGAACCATGGTGTTAAGTGGAGACTGTGTGGGGAGCTAAAACTCTTACCTCCTCCAGCAGTAGGTAATGGGGTGTCAGTGGAGGCTGAGTGGGGAACCTGGACTTCTGGTTCATCTGGCAGTAACGAGGCAGGTCCTCCCTTCTGCTGGTGTGGCATCAGGGAAAGCCAGCTGAAACAGACTGTTTAAATAAGATCCAGAGTCTTGTAACATAATAAAAGTTATCTAGGTTTCAATTGAATAATGACTTGTCATACCAAGAACCAGGAAAACGCCAAACTAAATGAAAAAAAGATAATCAATAGATGCTAACACAAATGGCAAGGATATTAGAATTATCTGCCAGAGATTTTAAAGCAGCCATGGTTAAAATACTTAAGTGAGCAATTATAAACATGCTTGAAGCATAAAAAAAAATAGAAAGCTTCCAAAAATAAATAGAAGATATAAATGAGAACTAAGGACAAATTTTAAAACTGAAAGATAGAAATAACCCAAGTAAAAGCTTTGTGAATGGACAAAATGGAGGAGACAGAGGGGAAAAAACTTGGTAAACTGGAAGCTAGAACAAAAATTATTTGTTGACTACATACCATGTCATTGTTGATGCCCCTGTGAAATAGGACCTGGCCGAGCAGGCTGGTCACCCTGCTTCCTGCGGGGTTACTCCTCATTCAACAAGCCAGGCTTGCTGATGAGCGGTTCTGTGGCATCTGAGGTGGATCTGTTTCATCGCTCAAGACTTTTACGCCTTTCCTGGTGTTTCAGACGAGGATCCATTCCCCTACACTGACCCTCGGGGCATTGCCCCATCATCTCTTCTCCTGAGAACTTCAGCTGCGCCTTCGCCTCCTGAGATTACTGGGGCTGACATTTAGAAACTTGCTTTTTTTTCTTTTCTTTTTCCTTTTGTTGTTGTTCCCTTGCGGTCACCCAAACATGAGAAACCTGTTCATATTTCGGTGTCCGAGAGTACAGCAGGGATGGGTAGCACTCCCTTTGGAGAGAACATTCACACATCTTCTGGTCTGTTTCTGGGCGGAGTCCCTGGGTTCAGTCTGTGTTTTCACTTTGATTTGTGAGTAGCGGTGGTGGAGGCGGTGGGCCACTGCAGCCTCTCTTCTCACCAAGTATATAGTCAGAAAGAGGAGATACTCAGACACTGCTGTCAGAAGCTTCTTCAGTTGTTTTAACCTGCAGTAGAGAGACAACATTACTTTTGATTTATTGATCCTTTCTTTAGCAAATAGAAGTGGAGACACTTTGCCCTTACAGCAGTTTCCTAGGGCTGCCATAACAAATCACCACAAACTGGGTGGCTTGAAGCAGCAGATCTGGAGGCTAGAAGTGTAAGGTCAAGGTCCTGGCAGGGCCATCCTCCCTTCAGAGTTTGGGGGAGAATCCTTCCTTGCCTCTTCCTCCTGCCATTGGTGGCCATTCACCGACACCCCTGGCAGTCCTTGGCCTGTAGCCGCATCATTCCAATCTCTGTCTCCATCGTCGCGTGGCCTTCTCCGTGTCCTCTCCTCCTGTTATAAGGACACCAGTCATTGGATCTAGGGTTCGTCATAATCCAGTATGGCCTCATCTTAAATATTTAGAAAAATTACAAATCTGCATAGTTCCTATTTCCAAATAAGATCACATTCTGAGGCTCTGAGTGAACATGAATTTTTGATGAGGGGGAGGGACACTATTCAACTCTGTCCTAGTAATTTTTCTGTTTTTCTTGGCAAAGTGGTAAGCATTTCAAACAGATGTAACTAATCCTACGTCATGGTATTTTCTGGTGAAAATAGTTTTATTTAGAAGGGTCAGCTGAGCAGTCACCTAGAGGACTGTAGTATTTGCTGTGATCCTGTCATCCCAGAATGACTCACGTTCGTGCTTGTGTCACTTCGATGAGTGTCACTTTTATTGATTGCAGACTTGATTCTTTGGAGATAGCGAGAAAAAGGAGCTGTTCTGTTCTCACTCCTTCCTGTTGGCAAATCAGCTCCTTCTTGTTCTTGGATCTAACTTGACAAAAGAATTTAATCTTGCATGATAGCAGACCCAGTGAGAGACGTTCATCAGAATTTAAACTGCCGTTTGGTACATTGTAACACAGCATGCGGAGAACCACCGGAAGCAATGTAATGCACGAATTCCCAAGCAAGAAGTTTAATGTGGGGGAGAGGGGACATTCTATGGGGTCGCTGCACAGTTACAGGTGCTTTCATTTCTGCTTCAGTGAATTCTTGGTGATTATACTACTTTTGTAGAATAATAAACTCTCCCAGCAGAGTCTGTTGTAAATGTCTGTCAGATTCCAGATACTCCTGGGGAGAATGCTGTGCTGGTAAGTCATTATTTTCACATGGAGCTCTTCTTTTTAGTGCCTATTTGTGGTTGTTAAAAGTTTACTAGTGTAACATGAAGCAGTTAAGGCCCTGGAAATACAGTGGAATGAGGAATAGCCAGTGGCTTGGTCTGTGGCAGTTTTTAAGAAATACTTAGAAGGAAACATGAACTTCTGCCCACAAGTTGACATTTGCAGGTCAGTGTGTTGGCCATGCTTGGAGCAAACATGGTTCTTTGAACGTCC